GAACGCCAGAGAGCCCAGATAGAGTGAAGATTTGCTGGGGGCTGGGAGGACTGCCAGCCTCCCAGCACCCCTGCCTGTCATGTACCTGCTGAACCCCAATAAAAACCTGCAAAACCACTGAGGACTCTGACTCCTCCTTTACCTGGTCTGCATGGGATCAGAAAACCTGCAGTGTCCAGTCCTGCCCCCTTACAACTGGTTACCAATGGTTCTGTGAAACGCAACCTTCTTAGTCATACTGTGTTTTGCCCTAAAGCTAAGAGAATGCAAACTCTGAGAAAAGAAAACTCCCTGGACAAACTTCATTCAAAGTATCAAAGTCTACCTATAAAGAAAAGTGAAACATCTTTCAAAGTTAAGGGTAAAATCTTAATTTATGAAAGGGACATATGAAGACAAAGGAAATGTTCTAAGGAAGGCTCAAAATGTTAAACCTGAAAAACAGTTTGGCAATTCCTCAACAAATTAAACATAGAATTACCATAGGCACCCACCAATTCCATTTCTGGCATATGCACAAAAGACTTAAAAGTACAGATTTAAGAGATATTTATACACTAGCACAGATAACCAAAGACAATAACCAAAAGGTGGAAGCAACTATAATGGATGAATGGATAAACAAATCGTGACACAAACATACAATGGAATATTATTCAGTTTTAAAAGGAAGGAATTTCTCACACATTCTGACATGCATAAACCTTAAAGACATTGTGCTAAGTGAAATGACCAGTATTTTACAGTTTACTAAGTATTTTCACATATACTATATAATTCTTCACTCCACTGTGAAACAGTTGATGATATCATCATTTCACAGGTAGAGGGAAAAGGTTCACAGAAGCTATATAATTTGGCTCAAGGTTATAACACATGATGTAATAACAGACAAAAACTTTAAAAATCCAGTCCCCCTAACTCAAATTTCCATGTTCCGTTCAATACATCATGCTGAATTTTCTGTTTGCCTCAATGGTAGCCCTTAGCACAATTCTATGCAGGGAGGCATTCCAGCATAGCAGAAAAGAGGCCTGGATTTGGGAGTTAGATGACCTACAACTCCCAGCTTTGCTACACAATTGTGGAAATCATTGCAATGCACAGTATCTTTTTTTAAAAAAAGATTTATTTTTATTTATTTGTGTATACAAGAACTGGGGTGTAGGTCAGAGGTGTGGGTGGGGGATGAGAGGATTCTCCAGAGACAGACTGGGGAGCTGAACAGGCAGATCTACTGAAATACACTGCTGAGGGGAGCAGCAGGTGAGACAGGAGAGGTTGCCATGTGAGTTAGCTCCCTGGCCAGGGAACAAACTCATGCAAGATCAAATTAGTGCTGCAGTGGCTGGTAATAGCTTGATAGTGCTGAGACTTACACCAGGGAGGCCCACTCGCAATATCTTTAAGAATCAGTTTTCTCAATGCTAAAAAGTCTACTTTTTTTAACTTAATATTACACTCTGTAGAATTTGATGATTGAAGAAAGTATATGAAAGCACAGCACAAAGTTGGGTACTTATTAAGGGAAAATAAATGTCAGAAAGGAAAAAAAGTATACTTTGCAGACTTAGTTAGCATTGAGACAGGAAGGATCTGGGATCGGGATAGGGACAAGAACAGGAATCAAAGACAAAGATTTTTCAAGAATTTTATTGTTCTCATATAAACAAGAGGTTTAAAAAAACTGATGACTTTAGGCCTGGGCACCTGCTGCCATAAATTTCCTGGGCTCACTGCTTTTTGTTTTGTTCACTAATCCACAGCTTATCAAGTTGGGTGCCATGGGAAAAGGGTAGTTAAAAGAGCCAGAAGAAAAAGGGAGTCACAGATCTTGAGACCAGACAGGTTCAAACTGGAGCTGTGGGCACATGGGCTCCAAGAGATGTTCACCTGGGAGATGGTCAGGAGCCCTGCACTACTCCTGAGTTGCAGCTGACTGGTGCCCACTGCTAGAACAACAAATGGACTTTAGCCAAGTCCACACTCTTTCTCAATTAATTCCTTTGTTCTCAAACCCCATTCATTTAAAACGTACTTAAACCCCTCGCCCTAGCACTTCCTCAAGACTCTCTCATGCCCAGAGAGGCCTCCCTGGAGCGCTCTTTTCTTGCACTTCAAACGCTGACTCCTAGCCTGCTGGTGTCTGTGGAATCTTATTTTCAATCTTGACCAGAGGGTCTCAAGAGCCCATCATGCAGCCTGCTAGCGAGACCCCTTGGTCCCTCTGCTCCTCGTGGGTGAAGCAGTGGACAGTGGCTGGTATGCTGCTAGCTTATCTGCCTGTTTTGTGGGCAAGGAAGAGATCAGCCTGAGGGGCCTCAAGCCAATCCCATCTGGTGACAGCATCACCAATATTTTCCCCTGATCTGGACTTCAAACACATCTTTACAGTCATTTCTTGAGATAACTTATTAGATTTTTGATATATTTTTTTAAAGATTTATTTTATTTTTATGCATACAAGAACTGGGTTACAGGCCAGAGGTGTGTGGTGGGGGAGGGTGAGAGGATTTGTTATAGGACAGGGAGAGGGGCAGTGGTCGCCAAATCTGTTATAGAACAGGGAGAGGAGCAGCCCAAACCCCGCAAACCTGCCTATTCTAAATGGGTTCTGCCATCCGCCGCAGCAACACAAAACATATAAGACTTCAATGGGAAGGAAATTTAATAAAACTAGGAAACAATAGAGGTAAGGCAAAGAGTCTAGTTTCTAAATCAAGAACCCAAAGTTACCCGTCCCCTCGTGAGTAAAACCCCATCCAAATGGGATTGGCCCAGAGAAAGTCCCCAAAGCCTGCCACAAGTCTAAAGCACCTTCCAGTGGGGACCCACAGAAAAGGGTCAGAAACAACCAGACAAGCCCGGAAGGAAAAGAGCAAATCAACATCAAGATAAAAGCTGCCATTGTCACCTCCCCATGGGTCTCACCCCAGTCCACGCCCAAGAGACAAGCGCAGTTTCTTCAAATGTCTCTAGGCTCCATGCGCCTCCTCCAGGTCTCCTGGCTCCATCCTGCTTCCTTCCTCAGTCTCTTCTGCAGCTTCTCTTCCTGCTCAGCTCCACCCTTCCTTGGGTGGGGCAGGGAACCTGGAACCTCCCCCTTTCCTGGGGACCACCCTGTTACAGATTCACCAGAGACAGAGTGGGGAACTGAACAAGCAGATTGACTGAAATACACTGCTAAGGTGAGCAGCGGGCGAGTCAGGAGAGGTCTGCTGCGCCATATGGGTTGCTCCCTGGCCGGGGACTGAACTCGTACTCAGTGGCTGCAGTTAGCTTCACAGGTTGTGTCTTAACCCCTTGTGGCACCAGGGAGGCCCTGATTTTTTATATTTTTGACATATTCTGAGTCTAATCCACTAAGAACAGTGAAGATGATATAATTATTCTCTATAGCAAGTTTATCAAAGAAGTTTTAGGAATATAAAGGTATAGACCTGACAGAGGCTTCCAAAGAGAAGGAAGAGTTCATAGTCAGACCATTTTTTATTAAGCTCAATCCAGTCCTTCCTGGGCTAAGAAAAAAGACAGGACAAGAACTTAAGTTAGCTATTTGATGGCCTTGGGGAAGATTAAGAACAGCCAAGCCAGAAGCCATTGAAAGGAAAAGCAACAAAGCAGGAGATAAAGCAAGCATAAAGGAATGTGATCAAGGAAACAGGCCCCAGATGAAAAGGAGCTGCCAGAAAGGCCTAAGTAAATACATGAATAAATAAACACAACATGAATTATATCCATATGCACTTCATACTCTAGCCCAGAATCTGGTGCTTCTTTCAAATACCCACATTTGTCATACTGCCCTTGGGTCACAAAGGGATATTTGGGAGAAGGCAGCTTATAATTCCCAATACTTACAGAAAATCACATTTATCAAAAGACCTTACTACAGTATCGGGTTTATTACTAAGTGTAGATATGCATTCATTTCTGAGATTTATAAAACTGTGTTTGTGGCAAAATGTCTCTGGGGTCAGGTAAGGCAGATCAACCTTCAGTACAGTCTTGTTAGCACATCTCACCCCGACACTCCCTCATTCCAGGCCTCCCTTTCACACTTTTCTTCTTGTTTCCAGATGTGCCAAACAATGTAGTATATTAGCGCAGGCATAGCACATTTTAAGGAAAAGAAAAAGGAAAGAAAGAAAGACACAGACACAAATACTGAATCCCAGCTTTATCACACATTACATTCTATAGCAAGTTGTAAATGTGCGTTACTATTACTGGGAATGTCTGGCAAGGCTTACATCTGGAGCTAAATCAAGTTTCTCCATCTGTTGGGTTTGCCTCTCTACTCAACATTAATTTTTCAATTGTTTGCAAGAACAATTTAATAACTGTTGAGAAAATGGAAAATGATAGACACAGAGGGAGCAAGGAATGTAGGAAAAACCAGCTTTTATGTTTCATAATACTGAGGGCATATTCCCTCCATTTACAAACAGCTCATTCCCATGTGAGAATGGTGTTTCCTCAAGACTCTAAAACAACTCCATGTCTGATTCCGTCTTATCCAGTATGTACAGCAATCTAATTGTCTTGCTATTTCATGAGGAACTTATAATGACTTAGCCCCATGAGCTCTACTTGCCTCTGTTTACCACAAATAGAAATAACCACGTGAAGCAAAATGTCAAAGTTCCAGATCCCCATGAGTCATTCACTGAACTCACAGAGAACAGCAGAACAAAATTTCAGAGAAAAGCTTTCAGATGGCTTATACTTGGAAAACACTTTGGCAACAAAGATGCCTGAAAAGAGCTTGCAACCACCTCTTGGTAAGAATTCATAGAATAGCACTGTGAGCTATTTCAAAGTGACAAAGTCAAACTCACGCACTCTGCTCTTCTTGATCAAGTATGACAATCTCTTTCACTCCTACAGACATCAGGGCTTAAAATAGTAGTAGTGTTCAACACACTCCACTTAGAAAGGTAAAATAAACCTCAAGATGAGCCAAGAGACTCCAAAAGACGCACATTCTCACTCCTTACCTGATATTAACCAACGCATGGGTCACCTTACTAGCTGCTTCTTTCCATTGGCCTGCATTGGTAGAAAGCCTCAGGACTGTAAAGAAGGGGAAGAACAAAGATCTGTCAGACTCTTAGTATAAAACACAAATATGAGGAATGGAGACATCTATGAATAGTGCTATTTGAATAATTTGTCTGCCAACATTCTTTTTCTTTTTATTTTTTAAAAAGATTTATTTAGGGCCTCCCCTGGTGGCGCAGCGGTTGAGCACTGGGCTGCAAAGCTGCCTGCAGCCTCTACAGTGCCTGTTTGATACCCAGCCGCCTGCGAGGGCCCCACATGGCATGCAAACCTCTCTTGCCATGCCTGCTGCTCCCCTCAGCAGTGTACTTCATCAGTCTGCCTGTTCTGTTTCCCACTCTGGCTCTGGTGAATTCTCTCACCCGGCCCCCCCCGCCCCGACCCGCTGCACTTCTGACTGTACCCAGTATTTGTATGTATAAATAAATAAATAAATCTTTAAAAAAAAAAAAGATGTATTTATTCACGTATACAAGAACCAGGGTACAGGCCAGATGTGTGGGAGGGTGAGAGGATTCACTAGAGACAGAGTGGGGAAGAGAACAGGCAGACTGACTGAAATACACTGCTGAGGGGAGCAGCGAGCGAAACAGTAGAGGTCTGCCGTGCCATGTGGGTATCTCCCCCACAGGCCGGGATCGAACCCGTGCTGCAGAGTCTGCGGACAGCTTCACAGACCTGTGCTCAACCTCTTGCACCACCAGGGAGGCCCCCAACATTCTTTTTAAAATGTCCTCATCCTAGAGAAAAATATTAAGACATATTCCCAACTATTTTTAACAGGGAATTTTTCCCCACTTTCTATCAAATATTCTACTCCTTCTCTGCCTTGGGTCCCTCTGCCCTCCACTCCCCTTTACTTGGGTTCCATACTTAGTTTTTACATTCTTTTAAAATCCATATTGGGGGACTCTGGCAGAATGGTGGCAAAGTGAAGACACCAGGCTCACCTCCTCTACATATTCACAACTAAATACAACAGAACAAAGCAAACAACCTTGAAAGATAAACAGAACACTACCACATATATTGGAAGCAAGAGAGTTGCAGGAAGGGGTAGGAAAGACAGTAATTAAACTATGTTTGCTGGGGCAGTACAACCCACACGAGGGAGGAGTCACTACTGTATGGAGTGCCTCTGAGGGGCACACACCCACACCAGGGACTATGGAGATCATGCACCACTGCTGGAGAAGGGCATGCACAGAGTTGGTGTGCAGGACAGAAGGTGCACTACTGGAAAACTGAAGGAGCAGAGGGTTGAATGATGTTACTGGCTTGAGCCTGAGGCTCCCAATCTAGAATAGGTGGAGCCCTAAACAGTGAGGAGAGCCAGGTTAGATCACCTGCATCACCTCATAAAAGCAACTACTGCAGGGCCTCCCCGGTGGCGCAGCGGTTGAGCGCTGGGTTGCAAAGCTGCCGGCGACCTCTGCGGCGCCGGTTCGATCCCCGGCTGCTCCCCGGCCACTGGAGGAGGGTCCCACATGGCGCGCAGACCTCTCCTGCCGCCCGCTGCTCCCCTCAGCAGTGTACTTCGGTCCTTCTGCCTGCTCTGCTCCCTGCTCTGGCTCTGGTGAATTCTCTCACCCTCCCGCGCTTCTGACTGTACCCAGTGCATGTATAAACAAAACGAACGAACAAACAAATAAATAAATAAATAAACATGCCTCTATTAAAAAAAAAAAAAAAAAAAAAAAAAGCAACTACTGCAGCCTCAAACACCTGGCTTACCCCCAACCTAAGGCCAAAACCAATATGACAACTGATTGTTCTCACTAACCAGAGCTTAAGTACCTGGATCTTAATAACAGAAACAAGCATCCTGGGGCAAGACTCTGAAAGTGAAGAGAACATTCCCTGGCTTGTGGCCCTGTCTCAAATACCATCCTTACCCATTACTACATTTAATACTCAATCACAGCCTAGAGGGAGAGGCTAGCATGAGACTACCCAAGACATGTACAAAGTGATGTATGCAGGACTGGTCCCTGAGGATAAACCACTGAGAGAAATAAAAAGACTCTATAAAAAAAAAAGAGAGAGATTTTAGCAGTAAACACACCCTGACAAAGAAAGAAGAATCTGAGGAGCCTGATGATGACATGGGTTTTGATCTTTTTGAATAAACCGCTTTTGTAATATGTTCAATAAAAAACTGAAGTCTTAGGGGCCTCCCTTGGTGGCACAGGGGTTAAGACACAGCACTATGAAGCTATCCACAGCCACTGCAGCACAGATTCGATCCCTGGCCAGGGAGGTGACCCACATGGCAAATCAGACCTCTGCTGTCTCAACTGCTACTCCCCTCAGCAGTGTATTTCAGTACATCTGCCTGATCTGCTCCCCACTGTCTCTGTTGAATCCTCTCAACCCCAGCATCTCTGGCCTGCACCCTAGCTCTTGTATGCATAAATAAATAAATCTTAAAAAAAAAAAATGAATTCTTAAAAAAAAATTTTAAACATAAAAAATATTTTTCACTCTAATATTCTTTAGAATATGAATGATTGTCACAACCAAAATTATAGCATTGCCTGGTAGGTTTTAAATATATGTAAACACATATGATAGGTATAACATCAAAGTAAGTATGGGGCATGGTGATTAAAGAACCTATAGTAGCAAAGCTTTTATATTTCATTGAAGGGGCACTATGCTGCTCCAAGTAGACTACAACAGATAATTGTAATCCTAGAACAACTGGTATACAAAGAAACACAGCCAATGGGCCTCCCTGGCGGCACAAGGGGTTAAGTCTCAGCACTATAAAGCTATCAGCAGCCATTGCATCACAAGTTCAATCCCCAGCCAGAGAGCTACCCACATGGTGCAGCATTTGGGTCACCTGCTGCTCCCCTCAGCAGTGTATTTCAGTCAATCTGCCTGTTCTGCTCTCCACTGTGCCTCTGGTGAATCCTCTCAAACTGCCCCCCCTCACTGCCCGCACCTCTAGCCTACACCCCAGCTCATGTATGCATAAATAAATAAATTTTTAAAAATGAAACAAAACAGTGCCTCCCTGGTGGCGCAAGGGGTGAAGACGCAACCTCTGAAGCTATTGGCAGCCAGTGCAGCACGAGTTCGATCCCCAAGCCAGGGAGCAAACCACATGGCGCAGCGGACTTCTCCTGACTCGCCCACCGCTCCCCTAGCAGTGTATTTCAATCAATCTGCCTGTTCTGTTCCCCACTCTGTCTCTGGTGAATCCTCTCACCCTCCGCCCGACCCCGCACCTCTGGCCTATACCCCAGCTCTTGTGCATAAAAAAAATAGAATGAATCTTTTTAAAAAAAGAAACAAAACAAAACAAAGAAACACAGTCAATAAGCAACTGATAAATTAAAATGCAATATTAAAAAATATTCATATTGTCCAAAAAAGGGGTGGAGGGACAAAATAAATGCTAGACAAAATAATAAAAGCAGACAAAAATAAATGCTAGAACTAAAAGAAGTTATATCGATTATTACATTAAATGTATACATTTAAATATCAAGTCAGAGACATAGGTTGTCAAACTGAATTACAAACAACTAAACCTAACTATGAACTCTACATAACAACTCTACATAACACAACCACTTTAAATATAAATATAAATATATAAGTTAATAGGAAGAAGGTAGACATGCAGACATTACTCAAAAGAAAGTGGCTATATTACTATTGGACAAAACAGACTTCAGAAAAGGGATATACCAGAGCGAAAGAAGGAATTTATCCTATAATAAAAGGATTAATTCACCAAGATATGATAATTCTAAATGTGTATACATCTAAAAGCAGAGTCATAAAATACATGAACCGAAAAAAATGAAAGAACTACAAGAAGAAATAGAGAAACCTACAATTATAGTTGGAGGTATTTTTTTACATTTTAAAAGGTCAGGGTTATTAGGAAAAGAAAAGGAAAAGATGCTTGCACAGACACAAGTGGGCAGAAAGAACTACTGCTGCTGATTTGCAAAGGTAAAGTTTGTGAAAAGAAACACCTGCATAGTCACAGGTGGGCAGGAGAGCTGAATACAGCTGGAGATATTAACAGTCTTCTCTGTTCCTTTAGAACAAGTAGGCAGAAAAATCTGAGAACAGAGGACATTATCAAAAATTTTGACCAAACTGAAGCATATGGAATACTCTACCCAAAGAGCAGATTACAAGTACACAGGAACATTTACCAGGATGAACCATATTCTGGGTTATACAACATCTCAATATAGTTCAAAGGACTGAAATCAGACTAAAAATATTCTTGGAGCAAAAACTAAATTAAACTAGAAATTACTAACAGAATGATATCCATAAAATCTCCAAATATTTGGGACTTAAATGCAACACTTTTTATAAATAACCCAAAGGTCAAAGAAGAAATCACAAGGGAAATGAGAAAATATGCTGGACCTGAATGTTAATGAAAACTCAACAAATGCAATTTGTAAGATGCACAAAAAGTAGTACTTAGAGAAAAATCTTTAAGACTAAATATTTATATTACACAAAAAGAAATCAATGACGTAAGTTTCCATTTTAAGGTAGCAAAGAAGAGCAAATTAAACTCAACACATACAACAGGATGGAAATAGAGGTAAGAGCAGAAGAGAAGGGGCCTCCCTGGTGGCGTAGAGGTTAAATCTCAGGGCTATCACCACTGCAGCCTGAGTTTGATCCCTGGCCAGGGAGCTAACCTACATGGCACAGCAGACCTCTCCTGTCTCGCCCACTGCTCCCCTTAGCAGTGTATTTCAGTAGATTCACCTGTTCTGCTCCTCACTCTGTCTCTGGTGAATCTTCTCACCCCCCTCACATGTGGTCTACAACCCAGTTCTTCTACACACAAACACACACACGCGCACACACACACGCACACATCTTACAATAAAGGAATAATTCTTTTTTTATAAGATTTTATTTATTTATACAAGAACCGGGGAACAGACCAGACGTGCGGGAGGGTGAGAGGATTCACCAGAGACAGTGGGGAACAGAACAGGCAGAATGACTGAAATACA